GCTTGGACCAGCCCCGGGAAAAGGGGAGAGGACACCCAAAGTAGCACCCGATCGCAGCCCTCTGCCCAGAGCTTTGTGCTGGAGGTAACCTGCGAGGGGGGGAGGAAGGGGATGGGGCAAACCTTGGAGGATGCTCTTTGCACAAGGGTAGAATATCTGAATTTCAGATGTCTTCCGTGCCCTTTTTCGTGGCTGTTGAGGGAGGTTTACAGCGCTCTAGGTAAGAAGGAAATGAAGCCTGATTAACTGGCAGCTGATCTTTTCCATGAGCTGTTTAAAAGCTGTTGGCTCAACACATGTGAAGCCTTCCAGGCTTGGGGAGAGATGGCTTGGTTTAAGTTCTTCCACATCCTTTTATTCAAGGATGGAAAAAGCTGTCCATGTGTTACCTGCAGGCAATGCAACTCAATGTTAAATCAGAGTTAGCATCTCTTACTGGGGATGGGGTAGACCAGAAGAATATAGTTTTGGGGATTGAACACGTGTCAGCACGGGAGAAGAGAAACCCTCCTGGCCATCCTCAGGAAAGAGATGTAAACACATTCACTGCCTTTACTGACAGTCAAGTGATTGCTGACTCAAAGACTCCTTTTTAGCGCAACAAAAAGAGCCGGTGCTTGTATATCACGCAATCTGACATGGGAACAAAATTGCATCTGAGTCTTCCTTTTAGCAACAGATTTTAAATAATTGTGCACGTCTCCGTTAGGTTGAGTTTCATGGTCCTTCCCATCTGAAGATGTCTTGAATGCTTTATTTTTACTTAAAATGAGATTTTTCTGAAAATACTGATAGAAATGCTAAGGGTTCCCCTCCCACACTGTGACATTATCTGAGCAGTCTTTGCAGTGTCACTTACTTTTGTGTTTCTGATGTACTTTGATCTGGTTTTAGACTGTTTCTACCAGTTTCTGGGCCTTGGCTGCTGACTCTCACCAGTTTTGTGGAGTGCAAATTCCTTCTAGGAACTGACCTGATAAAAACACTGCGTTATTTTTGTTTTCTTGTAGCTACTACAGTGGAGGGATTATTCAGTATGTATACATACAGACACCTGAAATAAAGGCAGGCGGGGAACCTGAGTTGCAAGATTTTCAAACTATGTTTCTTATTTGTCCCATGTGGTTTTGAATGCAAAGCCAGCAGATAACAGTAACTTGTCTTTATTCCATTCACACCATTCAAGTGGAGCTTTTTTCCGTAGTCTTGGTCCTTCAAAAAATGTGGTTTTAACTCCTCTGAGCTCTTTTCTCAGTTTCCCTTCCTGGTTTTGGCACGTGATTAGGTCAAATTGTTTTAGATGTCTGGAGTGCAGCTTCACATGTCTTTTGTTTGCGGGTAAAATGTCTTTGTTACGACTGTATGGACTTCCTTCAAATCAATTTAGGAAAGGGCTCATTTATCTTTGTTAATATTTACAGAAAAATTGGAGATACATGCTGATTTATTTTTTTAAAGGGGCCATCAGGAGCAGAGGAGTGGTTTAAAGCTTGAGAAATAAATGCAGAGTAGAAAGAAGAAATTTCCCAAAACCTTATCTTCAGGTGGGAAAATTGCTATTCTGGATTAATTCCATTGTGGAGAGTTCTGAAAGAAAAGTGGTTGTTTGGAAGGAGGATATATAGAGCATTTGCAGAGGTAGTTATTCCAGAAAAGCTAAATCATATCCAAATAGCTGTGTCAGGTCATTTCCCCCTTACAGACAATAATATCCTCAGGAAAAGACCGTAGAAGTCTTTGTCTGGAGGCTGCGGAATGAAGATCGCCTGGCTTTGGTACGTCAGTGTTACCATACCCTCTCTGCGGTGGTGCAGAGCCTGCAGCACGCTCACCGTGGAGCACAGTTGGTTGCTTTATCGCTGCCGTCTACCTCCTGGTACCTCCGGTGCTGCAGTACGAGGTCCAGCAGGGCTGAACAGCCCAGGCTCTGCAGCACCTGGAAATGCTGGTGCCCAGACTGACTGGGTGGCATCACTGCCAAAGATGGAAGGGCACAGCCTGAGCTTGTGGTTGTGACACGGCGAAGCATCCAGGAGTTAACTGAGGATGGTTGTGGACTTCTTCAGTGAGGAGAGAGTGGGCTTTACTTCGGTGTTGTGGAAGAAAGAGTGATCTGTAATAAATGAGGTATGTGTGGCTGTGCAATGGGGAAAAAAGCTGCTGGAACTAAGTTACTGTACGGTCTTGTCTGAAAAGCAGCTTCACCCAAGAGGCCGCTTTCAGCAGCCAAGGTTGTGTTTGAGAGGTTGGACTAACAAGGCAGGACTGGAGGGACTTCCCAGCATATCAAATCAGCCCTTGTTAGTAGGAGCAGGCATGTCTCATGACCTCCATCATGAATTTGTCAAGCTCCATCTCAAGCAATATAAGCGTTTGCCTTTTCTAATCCCACCATGAGATTCTTTTTTCCCCGGAATTCAAAGTAATTGCATCTAAAGCACGCAGTGATCTGTTTCCCAGGAGCTTGTGTGTAGTGAGCAGACAAGACCTCCAACGAATGAGTTCATGAGAGACTGGTTAAGAAACTGAAAGACTTCTGCAATGTCCATAGGCCTAAACATGGAGTGTGAAATCTTGTGCGGCACCCAACTCTTTACTAGAAAGGTGCAGCTCGGTTGTTTGAAGGGACTGCTTACATACAAAGAATAGGGGTGACGTGCAGGAGAACGGTGCTACTAAAGGAGCAAGGTGAGAGAGGTCAGAGGAAGTGACTTCTTTGGAGAAAGCAGCCTTCATTGCTGGAGCTGAGGATCAGCCCTTTTTCCTCACCTTCTGCTGGCACTGTGGAAGGAAGCAGATGCTTGAGATCTGAAGAATTAGAGTGTAACTTAGTAAGCTAGGTGCATACCAATAAAAGATGAAATCAAAGTTGTGTCATGGAGCTCTGTCCTGATGGGAGCAGGGGACATGGTCCTGGTGGCATCGGTATTTTTATTTTTTGGTGACTACAGGTCGAAGAGCATCACTTTTTCTTTGTAGTCCGTTGCTCAGAAATGCAAATAACGTTTAGATTTTGCGTTTCCTTGCTCTGACGTTCTTCAGCCTGCGAGGTTCAAGCACAGTGCAGATGAATAAGAGAAGTATTGTTGCCTTTTAGCACCGGGGGATCAGTTCTCAGGCTGCCCCGTTGCATTACAGAGGCTGTTCTCTCCTGCCTGAAAGGCCCGCAGCAGAAGTACCTCCCTCCTGGATCTGACCTGCTCCAGCAGCATCCCATTTTTCTGAGGAATTTCCTCTGAGGCTGTCAGGTCTGAGTTCTGCTGAACATCCAGACTGTCTTAAGTTAAGGTGATTGAAAACTGGGGGTGTCAGGAGAGGCACCTGCTGTGAAGCTGCCAAGTCCCGTAGCAACGCTGATGAGTTCATTTGAGCCATAATTCTCATATGGAAACTAGAAGAGAGGGTAGTATGTGGGCTTTTGGTTAACCTCTAGAAAACCAATGACGTCTTTTCTTTACTACCAACACAGTTGTATCACTGTATCTATACCTAAAGGTATTATTGTAAAGGTGCCTCATGCTAGTATGGCATAGCCCCCTTTCCATAGAAGAATTGGCTGTGTTGGAATAAGTAACTTTGCACTGGCATACCAGCATGGACAGTAGGAGAGTTGTACTTTCTCAGCAATACTGGTGTCAGTAACTTCCCAACGTTAGATAGGTGAGTTTAGACAGCAGGATAAAAATGTCTTGGTCTTGCTCTATCCCTTTGCTAAAGATTCCAAACATTTTCTTTTTTAACTGCCATGAGGCACTGTGGCCCCAGTTGCTCACACAAAGCTCTTTTCTAATGTTTTAAGAATCTGTGAAAGGTCTTAACTTCGTTAGAGGTTCTGTTTGGTTGGCTGGTGAGAACAGTTGTTTTACTGTGGCTGGAGCCAGGGTATTGCTTTTAGCTCTAGAAGAAGCTATAGGGGTAACTCAAGCACCTGTGACACCCCAACTTGCTCTTTCTGCCTGCAAGCACACACAAGCATCCTGGTCCCTCTGCATACATCAGCCTGCTGCTCTGAGCCGAGATCACGGTCAAGCTTTGTCTTAACGCTGTCAATGCAAAAAGGAGTGCAATTGGGTTGCTTGCAGGCTGGTAAACAAAACAAAATAAAATAAAAAATAAAATAAAAAAGGCAAAAAAAACCCCCAAAACAAAACAAAAAACCCAAGCAAAAAAAAACCAACAAGCCCTGTGGTCAGATTCCAAGACAAACACCAAAGATTTCACAAATCCCTGGACAATTACTTACCGAAGAGTACCCAGTAATAGCAGGCACCTGTTTTAAAGCCACCAAAAGAAAGTACTTGCCCACTGTTCACCCCTTCACACACAGAATACAAAGTTGTAGAGCTTGTCCTTTTGAGAGGCCAAGAGTACGAATGAGTTAAAGAACTCATGAGTGGAAAAAGGACCTGGAAAAGACTGATAAATGTGCTTATCTGGAGGCAGCCTCTAGCTACAGAAATCCTTAAGTCATTCAGTTTCTGAAGCTGGGAGAATCCAACTGGGGACAGATCACTTTGCATATGTCCTGGTTTTTCTGCAGGTTTTTTTTTTTTTTTTCCTCCAAGGCACCGTTAGTGGCCACTGGCCGAGATGGATGGCATCGGGGCGGTGTTTGGTGTAACCCAGAGTGGCTGTTACAAGTTTGTATAGCAGGGAGAAGAGCAGCTTTAGCCTTTTATCTTCTGTGGGATTATACCAGGACTTGAACATGGGTTTTGCTGGCCAGCTTTATAGACTTCTTATGCCAGTTCACAGGAGTAAGCTGGCTTTTGTCCTGGCATAACATTGTTTAAAAACAACCTTTGTTTTCTAAGAAGCAGGATCTTCTGTCTCTTGGGGAAAAAAAAAAACATATTATTCTGCATGTGCAATACTAGGTGTCTGTTTCAGTCCAGTGATAGCATTGAAATGTCTGTAGCAAAGTTAGAGTATGTGATGTGCATGTGGCCTTTGTGTTGTGCAGTAACACTGTGCTGCTTTTGCTTTTGTTTCCTGAATAGGGAAGAAGACAAGAACATTTTTGATTACTGCAGAGAAAACAACATTGACTATGTAACCAAAGCCATTCGATCAAAAAAAGTGGATGTGAATGTCACAGATGAGGAGGTATGGATAAAAAGATGAAGACTCTCAATCTTTTAACTGTTTTGTGTATTAATTCAGTGCCACTCCTTTTCAAAATTCCCTGGTGAGGATTCTTACAACAAGGTACTACAACAGTTGGAGAAACACTTGGTCATTGAGAGAGGGATAATCTATTTGAAAATAGCTTTCTGCTGGATTTCTGGTATTGTGGATGTACTGTGATGCTGTGGCATATCAGAAATGTACTTTCCATGGTATTTTTGGCGATGCCAGCAGCCACTTGCAGAATAAGATCTTCTGAATACTCTCCTTTCCCCACCTTGTACACTAAATGTGGTGAAATAGAAGTAGGAAGTGAGGGGAAATTGCTTTTTTGGCCAATAAACTCTGTTCACAGGTGAAGTAGGATTTCTGCCATGCCATCAGCTTTTCATCATTCCCGGGTGGAATGCTTCACAAAACCAGTGACATTGTCCAGTCTTTCTCTGCTCATCAAACTCAAAACACCCATTTCCCCAGAGGGAGATAATATAAGCATTTCCAGAAACCTCAAAAAGATATGTGTCTAAAATTGTGTATTGGCTTGATCCTTTTCTTGGTAAAAGTAAACACCTGGTGTGGACAGTTTCCTGTTCATCCTTCAGGAAATGTAGCAGTACCAGCTTTATCGCCTTGGTTTCAATGCTTGCATACTGCCACCTAGCCCTGCTCATCATCTGTCCTATGTACAGCTACTTTTGCTCGCTGCTTTCCAGCACATTGTGTTTTGGTGAACAGATGAAGTGCTTACACATTCATAGACTGAGACGCCACAAATTCAGTTGGGTTCTCCTGTAGCTCTAAGCAGATTTCTGCCCTCTGAGCCATGACAGCCCCGGCTGGGGCTCTGAATGCTGATGACAAGGCCTTTTATTATTAATCAGGAATTCACGTGAATTAATTTTCAGAGGAGAGGAGAGAGGGTGTTCACGATCAGGGTTGGAATTTCACATCATAAATTCAATGAACTGAAACTGTCATGTGCCACACAGTTGCTGCAACAGTACCATTACTGAGCTCCATCCCTCCTCCTGCCGATCCTGGGTTACAGAAGTAAATGGCCAGGGCAGACCCACAGAACACGGCTGGAGTCCTTTCATTAATAAAAGCTCATTTGGGGGGATCACACGCTTGCAATAAGTGTATAATAACTGCATGTTAGCATTGCTTCATTTCCATTGGCAAGATGCTCTTTCATAGTTAGCAGCGTTCAGAAGCTCATACCTTCCTTTGTGCTCAAGGAACAAATGTGCTTGATTTCAGCCAAAGAAACTTTTTGGTTTTTAAAATCAAAATATTTGGTCAAAAATGACTGAAATATTTTTGTGCTCTAACAACATAAATGTTTAGAGCCAGATCTGAAAACTGCCAGGTATGTCACCTCTTTGGGAATTACCCACGAGTCTCTGATGTAAGAGAAGACCTATTTCTGAACTAATGGGTATTAGCACGTGACTATTGCAGAGTATGGAATTGCTTCCGCACAGATAGGAGCTGAAAACCCTGCTTACCTGTGAAGGGCTCATGGGAAGATTCCCACAGGTGCAAAATTCCCCCATAGATTAAATTCTGACATGCTCAGTGATTTTTGGCTTACCCCAGCAAATGCTCAAACAAGGAAGTAAAAAGAGGTAAGAACCCTTTTTTGTTTTTTCTTTTTTTTTTTTTTGGCAAGTGGCTTCTTTAGGCGTGACTCTGATCCAAAAAAAAAAAAAAGGAAAAAAAAAATTAGCATACCAAAAAGAAAAATCTGAAAGAAATATTTATTTCATGTTACGTTAAGGAGCTGAAACTATTACCAGCGTTGTTCGGTATCCAAGCATGTTCTTTGCAATCTGGAGGGTAGCTTATTTTTCCAATATCGTGCAGGTTGATTGAAGTTTTAGAACCCATTTTAGACTAGAGATAACCCAGACCGAGCCTCTGGTAGAGTGAAGTGTATGCAAGCATGATCTTGTCATTTTTATTAACTGTTTTAGTGTTACTGTATAAATACATCCTGCCATAGCCAAAAGATGCCTCTCCTAGCCCTCTGAACATAACTCACGCTGTCGATCCTTTGATTTAAATGCATATAAATTTAAAATGGCAGCAGGGATACGTACAAAGAGTTAACTTGTTATGAAACAAAATCTACTGCAAAGATGCTAGACTCAGCCTTTCCTTGTACAATAAAGATTTGACTGAGGTTGTAAGGTGTTTAGATTTTATTTCTATGTGATGCATTAGTGCTGTATCTAATTGTATCCTGTCATTTTGTGCAAACCTGAAATAAGTTAGCAAAAGGGGAAAAGAAATGAAGAATAAAAATGTAAAATGGGGACAAGCCAACTTACTCAAAGCAAAAGGATTTCAGAGAGGGCAATAGAAGTCTCCAGGGTTTAGATAGATGCACTCGGCAACTTTCAAAGCATAAGTGGTCTTCTCCCCATGAGAAAAAAAAGTCTTCATGTACAGCATTCAAGCCAGCATACCTGCTAACAGTTTGGATATAATAAACTTCAATTTAGAATTAAACAAAGAATCTAATGACAGTAATCATGTACAAGCTTCCATTTACTCTATCTAAATTGCCCGGAGTTCAACAGAATAGCTTGCATTCACTTAGAAGAAGTAGCACAGACTAAAACAACCTGGTTTTTTTATGGATGTCAGCAGGACTAATGAAATAAGAAATGGACTGTGGCTGTGAAGTCTCCACAGGCGCATCCTGGTGATGTGGATTGCTTGCTGCCTTTTTGAGAACAGTATTTCTTCAACTTTTGACAAACCAGAAACTGCTCAAAGGCATAGATGAGTTGCTTTTGTAATTCGTGCCAAGGGCTGTAGAGGTTGTAGATAGAGAGTTTTTTTTTTTAGTTGTTGGAGAAATCCCAGTAAACAAACATGTTACCTGTGTGCAGTATTTGAGCCCTTGCCAAAACTTTAATGAAAGGCATCTGAAATGATGCTCGCTTAGTCCCTGATCCTCGTGCTTTTGAGACAGCAAGTGCCAAATTGGTGCCAGCTTGCCAAGGAAAGGACAGGGGGGATAAATGGATTTGAAGAAGGATCACGTACTTCTGGATTTGCAGGCTTACTCCCATTAGAAGAACTTGCCCAAATGTTTCGCAGCTCTGAAAGCGATTGATTGACTTCCAAATCAAACCTAAAGTTTACCTGTATAATTGCGCCCGCGGCCCTTCCATTCACTGGTTTTGCTGTCACGGGGGGATGCAGCCATTCTGTGTATATCTCTTCTTAATTACCAGTAATAAAACACTTGCCACAAGTTAGAGTGGCTCTCATTGCTGTACAGCCATTACAGCTGCAAACATCGTGCCTAGAAGTATAGCTTAATATTGTAGCACATCAATTGAGTTTGGCTTTGTTCTCCTCTTTCTCTGCACTGGCTAATTGATGTGAAAATCATTCCCATCCGATTGTCTGCTGAGACTTGGTATATCTGAGACAAATCCCTGTCCTGTGCTTTGTTTGTGAACACCCTGTGACTTGGAGCTGAGCAAAATTGATGTGCTGTTGGCTTGAGAAACTGCTGCAGAAGCTGGCCAAGCTGGCAGCGGTTATCCAAGCAAAGCACAGAAGATTTAAGAGGCAGGGTTAGTGCACTGGGGCTATTTTTATGCTGCTTTTTTTTTTATTTTATTTTATTAAATACTTCAAAGGCAGGGGAAAATGCATCCTCTCAAGTAACTTCTGCAACAATTGTTGCATGCTTGAATTGCATGGAGGGAGTACCTTGATCTTTGATTGCATTTAGTCAAGACCTCACTACTGCAGTGCTTTCCTATATAAATTTATTTGTGTTGCTTTGGGTCTCTCACTGCTTAATGAAATAGTCATATGGGAAGTGTTTTGGGAAAGCTCAGTCTGTGGCTCTTAAGATTTCTGCCGTGTTATTTAAACACACAAGCACAGGTTATATGCCGATATAAAGCAGCAGCTGTGCGGACTAAAGAATTTTTCAACGTGCATAGGTGATATCCATGCTATACAAAGAGTTGGATTGTACATTCAGTTTAAGTTTGCCTTATCGCTAAGCTTTGTTTTAAGGAAGACATGGGAAACAAGTGGACTTCTTAGTTTTATAGCTGCCCAGGTACATCAGCTAGAACTCCTGAGCCTTTTAATTTGCCTAATACTATGCAAACAGTAGTGAACATTATCTTGTTTTAAATACAAGTTTCTTAGTAATGCTTTTTGTTATACAGTAAGTAGGTTGAGAGTCTTCTGCAGGTATTTTTACTTCCACATCAGATGGTATGCTCTTGCACAGAGGTCACCCGAAGTCCCTTAAACCCTCTGTTTAGGGCGTAGCATGCTGCAAGGATGCAGATGTTTCTTGGGTGGAACGTGTCAGCTTTTTAATAGTGCACAATTACAATGCAGAGCCATTTAAGGCACTAATTGGAAAATATTGTATCCATTTAGAATTGCAGAGAAAATATATAGGTAAGCAGAGTGTAATTACCCAAAGTGGAATTGGCCCAAGACTTGAAATCCATACTCCTGCAAATAGCACAAGGAGATTTTTAATGACTATAGATGATCAGGCTTCGGTTTCTTGTCTTCTTCAAAAGGCAGCATTTGCAGGAGAACCATCCTTGCAGTGTCATGGGAGGGGACCGCTTGCACAGTGCTGCAGTACCCCTCAGCCGACATAATTGGCAGCATTCTGTCTCCCAAACTGTTGGTTTTCCCTTATTGGGCTCAGTCAAGTTCAGTACCAATAAAATGAGATTCTGCTTGTCTAGAGACAAACACAAACCAACATATTACAGTCATTAATACGTAACGTGAATTTTGATATAAAGGATGGAAAACCTTTATTTTGCTGTATAATTGCACAATAATTACATTTGTGTAATTACGTTATTCCTCTACGCATATATAAAGAAACTGAAATCTTCTGTTGAAGTATTTACTGCTATTGTGCATATTGCCGATAATGCTTCTTTCTCTTGAAGTAAACATCTGTGGCACAAAAGAAGTTGGTATTTGTCCAACTGAAATACTAAGTCTTAAGTAATTACCAGCCCAGAGGTGAGTTAAGGATGCTAAACATGAATTAAAGATCTTCCCATGTTTACCATTTGTTTTAAATTGTACAAATCTTTCCCCCTTTTAGACCTCGATAGTGGTGTTGAGTGCAAGAACATTAATCATGAAATGGCCCATGGATGTCATCAGTGCTTCCATGGAAAGTCATTGTCAGAAAATTCATTCTAATTCAAGGTTAATTAGTGTAACATTAAAATTATGTGTTACAAAAATTAATTACTTGCTGGGTCAAAAAGTGTATTAAAAAGCTTAATGCCTTGTGTCTGAGATTGCATTTCCTGACTCAAAATCATGTTCCACCTCTGCTGCCCTGCCCAGGAATATCCAGCAGAAGCAGCGGGAGCTCCGGTTGCAGGTGTCTTCTGCCCCTCCTGCTATTTTGGCACCTTGGTCAGGAAATCTGGCTCACAGTTCCCATTAGCAGATAAATGAGTTGCTCACCTTGTTCTCCACTGCTCTGTTGAGAGATTTATAACCAGGCATGGGCTAATTTAACTGATTTCAATGGTGACGGTCTGTGACTGTTTTCTGTAGCATGCTGGAAAACACAGGTTGATCTGACGGTGTCACAGCTTGGGGGATGATTTCTTGGTGATCTGCAGGGCGATTTCCAAGGAATCCCCTGCAAGCGTGCCACGTGCCGTCCCAAATCAGGAGAGACCGATACTAACAGTAAGTCTAACTTACTAAGTATACGTAGTAAACAAAGACAAAAACCTTCTCTCTCAAACTACTTTGAGCTACCTTTCTCTTTGGAGTTGCTGTTATATAAAATCATCTATAGTTCATAGAAAATGTCCTAGAACTGCTTGTCAAAAGGCTCTGTTACTGCTTTGAATGTATTTTTATGTTATAAGAGGATAAGCACTCCAGCCTCGGGGCAGGGCTGTTAAAAGTACAGGAAACTGTATCACAGCTCTGCTGTGATGTCCTGCTGCGAAAACAAGCGTTACTTTTCACAGGTTTGGCTGTTCTGGCCAAGGATCAGAGCAACACCTTGAACCCAACCCCAAAAGCTTTACTTCAGTACAGCCATAGCCCTTTCCGAGGCCAGCTGGGTTTTCAGATGTGCGTGTCAGCCCTCAGAGGGGTCCTATGCCATTTCCCATGTCCTTGACAGGCAGGAAGATCTGAACTTCCATTGCATCCCCTCCCACGGTGGCAGAGACATGCAGGGACTTCAGGTGTGCAAAGACTTGTAGAAAGGGGATGGGAAGAAACCGCTGGAGGCATGGATGGAGCAGCCCGTGTTGCAGAGCTGAGCAGGGGACAGTCGTGGGTGATGCCTGCCCAGACACACAGTTTTAATCTTTTGTTGCAGCAGAAGCAGAGCCTGTGGGTTGAGTGTTTCGGACCTGCCAAAGGAATGAATGAGCTTTGGGGAACTTGGCATCCGGGTGACTTAGGCAGCAGTGAAAATCTTACCCATACTGTGTAAGTCGTTGCTCCCAGAAGAGTCAGAGATGTCAAAATCCCAAATCTGTGTAGGAAAACAAATCGTATCATGGCTCCTGCTTTTCATGCTCTGCTGCTTTTCCCCCTCTACGTTTTTGCTGGCTTATGAATTTGATTCTAAATTAATGGAAAAATTGAACTATGTGTCACTTTTAACGTTTCTAACGTTATTCTCTAAGTCCAAATGTGGAGCAATAGTATGTTACATACTAATATTAGTGTAGTGTTTTTTAATAGTCTGTGTTAATTTTGTTGGTGGTGGTCACTACTTCATAGCAAGACTGTGACTCTCTGTGCTTTTTTTGTTGACTGGCTTTGTTAATTTTCTCCTGGATGTTGCAGGGCCGGGCTCTGCTCCACTGGGCGTGCGACAGAGGACACAAGGAGCTGGTTTCAGTACTGTTACAGCACGCTGCTGACGTTAACAGCCAGGTAAGAAAGAAATAAAAAGTTGAATTTAATTAATATGTTATATAGCCTCCTCACCAAATGTTTCACTGAATTCTCGCAAAACTCCATAGCAAGTTCTCTCAAAGCACTTGTCACAGAGAAGCACGTCCAAAAAGGTAACCTGGGAAAAATAACAGAATTTGGTTGCACGAAATACATAGTCATAAGGGGCCTTTTTCAGTTCCTACTGAAACTTCTCCCTGCAGAAAAGTTTTTTGATCACCTGGCTGTGGCTTCCAACGGGACTCATGGTACTGATGGCAAAAGGGATTTCCTGTGTATGAGGTGTTTTGTAGCTTCCGACATAAAGTGCATTCTCCAGTGTATTTTTTGTAATGCTGCGCTCTCAGCAGAACTTTGTAGACTAATAGAAAGAGAATCTCACTTTGCCTAGCAGAAAAGCATCCGATAAATGCCTGTTTTCAGCAGAGCACGCCACAGGGCTAGATGATGTTTCAGATCACGGTGTGACGGGCACGTGACAGCTACAGTAAGATCTCAGTGCTGACTGAGGGCAAAGTCAGACGGCTTATGCCATTTCCATCCCCACATACCCACCTCACCTCCTTGAGGGTCACCATTTCTAGTGCGGTTTGACTTAACTGAACATAAAGCAGCTTTTTAGCCACTGCAGTTTGCAGCCCATGTGTCTGAGCTTAACTGGCAGCAGTTTTACGGTACCTTAATAGTCCAGATTGTGAACTGTATTGGTTCAGCAACCGCTTTGCAAGGGGTTCATGCCAGCCAGCCAGCTTGAGTCTGCCTGTGCTCATGAGTCAACGCTCCTAGTTTTGTGAGCTCGTTGTAATTAAGGACCGACCCGTGTAAATGCAATCATGTTTGGAAATAATCATCCAATGTATTTCTGTCAAATTATGATTGACTGCTCTTTACCAGTGTGGCACTTACTGGCTTTGCTCTCGTGCCCAGTTTGGACATAGATACACCTCTGCTGACAAATTCACTAGCTCTTACCGGTGAGATCTTAAGCAGCCTTGCCATAAATGCTTCAGGAATTGGTAAGAGGTGGACCTTAAGCACAGTTGCAATCTGAAGGCTTATCAGCAGACCTGTAGTGTTCACAGGCTACAAATAGCTGTGTTGGTATTTACACACACCTGAAATTGTTGTAAAAAAGTCTTTCTTGCTCCTGCCTGGGCAGAATTGCAGGTGGGATGGGTATTAGGAAGCGTGGTTCCGCAATAGCTGATGAGACATGTGTCTTCATGCTTAGACCTCGGGGATTTCAGTTGTAATGGATTTTATAGGAGTTTTTCCTTACATAGAAGAGGGGTAGTGGAACCGGTACGAATGGGGGGCTTTGTGTGCCCCACTGTCAGACTGGACCATCACCTTTCAGTCAGAGCTGGTGAGTGATGTCTCGGATACATACGGGAACAGCTTTGCCTTGAAATCGGGGAGGAGTTGGATCAAACACCTGCTTGTCCCCTTTGCCCTGGCAGCCCAGGAGATGGTTCTGTCTGAAAAGTAATTTCTTTTTGATGCTTGTCTCTTTCTTTGGAGGTAAAGTCCGACTCCTAGAAGAAGAGGCTGAAGGGAGAGTCATCTTATTTTTTTCCCTGAACATTAATTTTCTGATAAATTTTTTTTTTTTCTTTTTGATGTATTGCGCATTTTCTAACCAGATTATTTTTGGCCAGTAACAAAAGGTTAATAATAGCCATAAAAAGAAAATCAATCTTTGAATTTTTTTTTCCCCCACCAAGGTAATAAAGGAGAATTTTTTATAAAGGTCTCTGTTCACACGTAGGTGTGTTCCCAGAGAAGGCAGACACATTTTTATTCTCAGCCATATATAAATTGCAATAACATTTCAAGACTTTATGACCTAATGTTTATTTCTCTTTTTTTTTTTATTTTGACCTTTACCCTATAAGAATTCACATCCAAAGCAAGAACAGAAGGAATTTTAAGAGCAACCAGAAGAAAAAGGGAGAGGGGGAGAAAAAACCTCTGGCTTCCTAACAGGCCATAAACACCACAGTGCCTGCTATTAGACGTTACCAAACGCGCTATCAGTTAACGTGTAGGCTGTAAAGAACGGTTGGTTAAGTGTAAGGGAATCTCTGATGACTTGAATTGGTGGCACTGTTATTTCAGAGCAATGTGCTTGCAGTAGAGGTTCCCCTCGCAGGCTGCAGGCAGAATCTCTGCCAGAGCCCAGCGTGCAAGCAGCCTCTGCGATTTCCACCCGCTGCTCGGGCCTTCAGGTATTTTTCTGTCTTGTTCAATTTTGCAGCAGTAGCTGCGTGCAGGCGACGTCGGAGATAAAGAATAAATTAGGGATTACGAGGGTTATGAGCAGGTAGTGAAGGAGAGAAATGTTACAGACCAATTTTTTTTTTTAAATTGCCTGTGTTTTAGTATGCTTCTAAAAAGTTAGTCAAACAGGCTGACAGATTTATGCTCTCTTCCATTACCTTTTTAATAAATACTCTTCCATCTTGGCTCTCTTGGAGTGTGCTAAAGGATTTAGCTGCCCTAAGCAGATGGTGACGGCGATGCTCTACTAGGTGTCCTGGAGCAACTCATACCAGTCACTGTGCCTGTAGATGTGCCTTAGTCACGTTTTACTGCCTTACTTTATCTTTGTACTATCTGTTGTCCAAGTACTTGCAGTCTCTGAGTGGAGAGGCTCTGCATGAGTCAACTTAGTGCTCTTTGTTGATAAACAGACGGCTTGGGAGCAGGAGGAGAGATCGCCTGGCTCTGCTCATTCCTGTAGTGTGCTCGAAACCCCTTTAATTCTGGGAATAACCACACAGTCCTGGACTGCAGTGGTCCAGTGCCTGTGCTTTTTGTTTTAAACAGTGGTACTGCGGTTTCAAAAGAGTGGTTCACTAATGTCACTGCAAAGCTGCAGCCATTGAGTTCTCTGATTGTTCATAATTAGCTCTAATAGCATATTTGAAAAGAGGTGGTAAGCGATTGCCATGGGCAAGGGGATACAGAAAGGCAACAGGCTTCTCTACTTTGTTGAAAAGGGGCATTTGTGTAATTGAATTACCTAAATATTCAGAGCCAGAGGCCATTTCAAAGTGGGTGGTGGGATGGTATTTTGGAGCTCTGCTGAAAATACCCAGAGCTTGGGGCTTAGTCTGAAAACAGCCCTCCTTTCACTGGAACTGTTTGCCTAAAATGTAGGCTTTCAATTGAGTGATGAAGTGAAAGGACGGGGAGTATATTCATAACGTAACAGTTATGAAGGAGCTCGGCAACATGATTATAACATCCATTTCTAGCTTTAAAATATATGAAGACATGAATAAGTTTTCCTTGCAGAGGATGAGCAGCAAAGGAAAACCTTTTTCTCCTACAGGGAGAGTTTTTCCTTGCAATGTTTTCTCTGGCCTTGGAAAGGAGGTGTTCTGGGGCATGGGGAGGCACTGAATGCAAGCCATGCAAAATTGCACCCCAGCTCCGCGCTGCCCTGCAGCTCTGCCACGGCATCCTCGGTGTTCCCCGTGCCAGGAGCAGCAAGCTGGCCTGGTCAGAGATTTTATTTGTCCTCGGTGGTACCTGGTAGTGTAGTGCCAGTGTGGAGGAGACGGCAAAACTCAGCTCCGCTCCTGGATGCGAGGTGCACCTCAACCAGCTTTCAGAGAAGCTCCTTTAGTGTATTTAAGGAGAAGTTTAGGCACAGCGTACTGCTTTAGTGCTTTTAGGTGGAAGAGTGCACTTGGGGTAGGGTCTAAGTCTGGTCACCTCCTCCTGTAAGAGCAAGGCAAGTAAGGCAGCTTGAAAAGGAGAATTCTGGGCTCTGGTGCAAAGCCCCATGCAATCGCTCATCCTACGCAGGCAGCGCTGCAGGTATACAAATTACTAGTGCTGTTTTAAGAATGATGAAGGGCATCGTGGTACAGTAATTGTCCAGTGAGAGAAGGACAAATAGCATCTCTCATTTCTAATGTCAAAACGGTAGACCATAGACTCTCCTCTTGGACTTGCTGTGGCTGCACTTTTTTCCCTTTGTGGGTACTCTTTACTCCAAAATAATAATCCGTGTGTTCAGGGTGTGCCCTTGGGAATGCGTGGGGAACTATCCTGGAGTGGTTGCCGCAGATCAGCTGATGCTGAAAAAGCTTTTCAAGCCTATCTGACCATGTGAACAAGTCTTAAAATATATATTTTTAGTTGTAAGTGGAACTGTATCACTTGGCATACAGGATAATTAAGGGCTTTATACATATCTATGTGGTAGAGCAGCTGAGTTAAAATTGTATCTAAATATTATTTTATTATTTTTAATCTACATCATTGTGCAGTTCTGTTAATCAGCTTATCAGTGTTACGGTAATCTTTTGTGTATGCTAAAATTCATACTATAATTATGACGACAAGAATGAAGAAAGCTATAACTGATCTTCAGGTTTTATTTGCTGACCTTTCACTTTCCTAGTAAAGGTGCAGATCATTGTACTGAGACTTCAAACCGCTTGTCAGCAAGTTCTCAGTGGTCACCCATGGACCCTCAGGGGTTTGAGAAGGAAACCCAAGAACGAAAGCTGAAAATCATCAGGTTAGGAAATCTGTTGCTAGTATATGTGGATTTTATTTTATTCATTCATATACACCAGTAATTTCAGTGAAAAGCATCTAGCATCTGTGCTGTCTGCAGAGAGGTGGTTGCTCTTTGGTGCCAGTGTTGTTTCTGTATCTCGTACCGTTTCACGCAAGGCTGAAAGTGCTGCTGCCTGAACTCACGCTTGTCGCATGTGATTTTGAGTTAGCCGAATTTTTTTTCTAATTTTTTTCTTTTTTTCTAAAAGACATGTAGAGTAGCAGGAGGAGTGTGGTTGCCTCCCCAGCTTGTCTTTTTTTCCCCGGTCCCCTGCCATGCACCTCTAGCAGGCAGCAGCTTCCCTCCTCTCTTATTTACATGCTAACCTACTTGTGAGTCAGAGGGCTTCAGAGACGGACGTGGAGTAGCCGTCCCCTTGTAATACCTTCACTCACATCCT